TAGCGCTGACTGGCGGAACGGACGGGGGAAGGGGGTGGGTACAGCTGGCCCTGCCTCTAGATAGGCAGAATAAGCTGTCACACACGCAGCTGGGCGGATCCCGACATAATTGTTTGTTCCTGTTTAGGCCCCGTTCACATGTAGCGACTTATCGCGCGATTTCCACCGCAATATCGCGCATTTTTGCCGCGCGATATCGTGAGAAGTCGCCGGCCAATGCTATTCAATGGAGCTGTCTTAACTCCATGTCGGGCGTCGCTCGTCGCGGTCGCAAGTCGCTTCTACCGGACCCTTTTTTCGGCAGATTTTGCTTTTTACTATGGAGCCCGACGGAGAAGGTCGCGCTACCGTCGCTGGAACGTCGCCCCGAAAGTCGCGCTATCCCGGCCGCTGCAAAGGTATGTCGCTACATGTGAACGGGGTCTTAGGGATGATAGCATTCGTTGAACAACCATTGTCTGACGTGCGGAGCATGGACGATGTTGCCGAGGTCAGCAGAAAACAATGGCACCGGGCCCATGAACTGAACCCTGCTTGTGTACCCCATTACACGTTCACGCGTTCACACCCCATGCATGCGATATGTTTATGTCACTTGCCATGGAAGCAGATTGCTCCGGCGAAGTCGTGACTCGGTTGTCAGCTGCCTGCTGCCACATTTTGTTGTTGTGCAGGCAGTGAATTGCCAGGGCCCAGATGGCCCCCTACGAGGGAATAGAAATCCTCAAATCCCAGGATTCTATGCGTCTCCTCCTGGACACCCAATTCACAGAACGACATCTGCTGCTGACGCACGTCTCCTTCCGCTGCGAGGTAAGCATGGAACTTCAGCCGAGGGGAACGAGACTGAAAAACACGGGAGCGAGAAATAATAACAAAGGTATCAAATCAAACACCTCCAGGGGACGGGATAGTAGCAGACGTTCAATATGGATCCTTTGTGATAATTCCGGCATGAGTAGATGGAGATCACGCGAGGAACAATCCCCTTTGTGTACACACATTGAGGAAGGTGATACCATTTGGTGTGACAGAGGTGCAGGAGTCCAATACAAGAACATTCTATCTATATTATTATTCTGTATGTTCAATAATACACTGATAGAACCAAAGCAATGTGCACAATGCCGGATCCACAACAACCAGCTGTAATCCATCTCCTGCCAGTCTGATCTCTGATTGGGCGCTCGAGGTTTGTCTATGCATAGTCCTCTTTTGAGGTCCATCATTCTATGAAGGTCATAGGCTTATATATGGGGCACTTTAGGTTTGTCTATGCATCGTCCTCTTTTAAGGTCCATCATTCTATGAAGGTCATAGGCTTACATATGAACGTTACAAGGGTTCCGACCAAGACATTCACACCTCACACTGACATATGAGGACTCCTTATTTATGTCAGCACCACACTACAGATCCATTACAGACATTTCATAGATGTGTAAGATCATGCCTGGCCAATTGGATACTACTGCGCATGCGCATAGGCCTGTCCGCCGCATTTGCGGGAAATGGATGCTACTGCGCATGCGACACCAACAGACAACATTGACGACAATGGCATTGCTGTCATTTCTGAGACTGATGAAGGGAACCCAGCGTGGCCCCGAAAGCGCTAGTTTTGGTATTATGACGTTCCAATGAATGAACTTTTTGGACTGCAACATTGTTGGTGTGCTGGTGACATCTATCCATTTTTGTACTGCTATCATTCTAATCTCAGCTCTAACATTTTGGATTTCCCATCTCCTTCACTCTCGCAGACAATGGTCCCCATGACAAATAGGAGAGGGTGGATCCCCCTAAAAGAGACCCGCAGAGCAATGAAAGCCTGTCGGGGATTCTAACCCCTCACAACTTTATCCAAAACAAGGTAAAAAAAATAATAATCATATATTCAAGAAAGAGATCCCAAAGTGTAACCAAGTCGACCAGTGTGTATTATTGTATACAAAGCTTTGTTTCTATTTATCATCTGTAAGCATCTGTCTGGCAGTCCCTTTTGTTCCTCTTATATCACAATGGGTAGAAAACAATAGATGGTGATTGGCAGCTGGAGATCATGTGACTGAGGCCGGGAGCTGCAGGAACAAAGGGTTGATGTGTCTTACGTCTGCTTACAATATTCGTTGCATAATCTCTCCATGGGTGACGTCAGTCATTTGGGAAGAGATCTGCAGATGCCGAATTCTCAGATCTACACGGCTTTCCATGTGTCCCCGTTTCCTCTGAGACTACATTACCACTGGACAGGACAACTACTCTCAACAGAAACACAACGCAGTACTTGAGATATAAAATACTTCCTGTATATGTGATTATTTGGTTACTGTTTATACTCAATGAGCCTGCACAACATATATTATTCGCATGCTGATGCCCCTTCCTGCTCACGTCAGCATTAAACATATTATAACAAACTTCACTGATCTGGAAAGAATCATGTCGGGTCCGGTGAATAAAATGCTGTCTCATGCCGAGAATGTCAAGCTGATAAAATGACGCATTGGGCTCCTGGAGTCGGTCACGATGAGCGCAGAGCTCATTAAGAAGAGCGCGCTAATCCTTCAGGAAAATGAGTTTCAGGCCGCCGTCGCTGCCTCTATTTATGGCGGATGAAATGCACAATTTTGTCTTGGGGACGGGATGATGGGTTTTATCTCCAAGTCATTTTCCTCAACGCTCCGCCGACCACGTTCAGACGCCACTCAGTATTATTGTTCGGTTCGCGGTTTGGTGACCGGTGATAGATAGTCACCGGCTGAGCGCGTCTGACGCTCCCACGAATGCTGCAATTGGACCGTAAAAGGGGAAAAGCCTCCAAAATTGTGCGATCCGTGTCTGATATGATGAAAGATTCGCCAGTCAATCACACAGCGTAATACAGACACAAAGATCCTTAAAGGAGAACTATGGGGGTCAGTGTTTTTCCCCATAGTTCTCCTTGGGGTAACGGGAGGATAAAAACTAGCATCCTCCCGTCACCCTAGGCTCAGTACATAGGGAGCTACAGCTCGCGGTATACTGAGACTTAGATGACGGGATCCGCCCAGCTGTGTGAGTGACAGCTGGCTCTGCCTATCTAGAGGCAGAGCCAGCTGTACCCGCCCCCTCCCCCGTCCGTTCCGCCAGTCAGCGCTGGAGGATCGGAGCGGGGAGGGGGGAATCCAGCCCCTCCCCTGAAATACACCTTTCCACTAGGAGTCTATCTTCTGTATGGTCACCTGATGTCTCCGGGTCCTCTTCTCCCTGTGTTGGTGCTTCTATAACATTCTCCTATGAGCACAGACAGCCATGATGACCGTCCCCTGGGGGTGGGTCCATGACGCCCATGCTTCACAGGAAGTCGGTTGAATGATACCAGGCTCCACAAGGAACAATCTATAAAAACCCATCCTGAATATTCTAAACAATGTATAAATTAATTCCCACAGCCTCACGCATGCCATGGCTTCCATTTGGTTCTATAAGTCTTCTTTGGCCCCACACTGTCCTCTCACCATCACCTCGGCCATTGTTGGACCACATCCAAAGATCGGTGCACCCCCCCCGCTGTATGTCTGCCCCCGGCTGCCTCTCCGATGGTGTGTAATTCATTTGCATTTAAAGCAGATGGGTTTCACCTTTGTGAGCTCAGTCACCGTTCACAGCAAGGATAACCCGATTATGTGCGCTCGGCCGGGAAACCCCCGTTATACAACACATGTGCTCCCCGTGTACGTCACTCGTCATACAGACAAATGTTACTTTGTGCCATCCTGTGATTATAGAACAGTAGAAAGGCATCATGGCACTGACAAACTAGCATGTAAAACAACTTGTCTCACCACTAAGGACTAACTGTTCTACTGTTCAAAGCCCATTTCGTGTGCACCTTACTGTATAACTGGTAACAAATTGTTGAGTGCGTTTGTCGTTTGTTTTGCTTTATCCTGTGATTATAGACACGCTCTTGTATATTGCTTGTCCTCAGGCTTCATTATCTGTCATATTAATAAGAACAAAGCCAGGCAGGAGAGGAAAGGAAACATATCAATAAAGAAGATACAGGATTTTCGGTTTGTATGTTAAAGTGACACTGAACTCCGGAGTTAAAGGAGAACTATGGGGTCAGTGTTTTTCCCCATAGTTCTCCTAAGGGTAACAGGAGGACACAAACTAGCGTCCTCCTGTCATCCTAAGCTCAGTATATAGGGAGCTACAGCTCGCGTTATACTGAGACGCCGCAACCGGGATGGATCCCAATATTACTGTCGAGATCCACCCAGCTGCGTGATTGACAGCTGGCTCTGCCTATCTAGAGCCAGCTGTACCCGCCCCCTCCCCCGTCCATTCCACCAGTCAGCGCTGGAGCATGGGAGAGAGGAAATCCATGCAGGGAGGCGTGAGTGACAGTCACAGCTCTCTGCAGGGATAGATCGAGAAGTGAGCGAGCGCCGGTATGTGTTCTCTCACTTCCCGACCAATTGAGCCGACATGTGACAGTTTCATTGTCTGACGTCAGCTCGAACTATGAGGCTGAGTGACAATCACTCCCCTTATAGTTCTCCTTTAAATCTTAAAAATCCCTCCAAGTCGCTGAACTCTGAGCAACAATGTCTCTTATTTGTGTATCACTCGGCTGGAGATCCTCCAATCACCTCTGACACTGTCCTTCCTTCTGGAGGGGGGCTACGTCTGTTCCCCATGGTCCCTGTGTGTGTTGTAGAGTAGTCACCGCTCCAAGCTCCGCCCTCCGGGATGGACTACAAACAGAGTTCAGGGACTGGGAGGGATTTTTAGGATTTATCTCCTGAGTCTGGTGTCACTTGAGGAGATTACTCAGATTTAGTGCAGCGCAGCCTCCCGCCGTAGAATATAAAAGGTTACCCCCTGTGTTATTCTCTGCATAGGAAGTGACCTCTGGGCCCCCTGTGGGAGGGTCACATGATGGCAGCACACCACACCAAACCTTCTATACTTGATCAGTTCCACATTCCGGGACCCGAGGGGACGATTACCTCAGACTCCTTGTAATACCTCTCGGGGATATCATCGTATGCAATGTCGATGAAACACACTTCCCTCTCCAGGTCCTTCACTTCATGATCAAATATCTGCAAAATACAGAGAGCAACATTAGCCATGAGGATGGTACAGCAGTGAGGGCTCAAGAGCTTACAATCTAATTGACTTTGTAGGAAATATAAATCATGTTGCAGACTGATCACTGGGGGAGGGGAGACTGAGGAAATGCTTCCTCCTGCCTGCAGCAGACTGATGACTGGGGGAGGGAATACTAAGGAAATGCTTCCTCCTGCCTGCAGCAGACTGATCACTGGGGGAGGGAATACTAAGGAAATGCTTCCTCCTGCCTGCAGCAAGACTGATCACTGGGGAGGGGAGACTCAGGAAATGCTCCCTCCTGCCTGCAGCAGACTGATCACTGGGGAGGGGAGACTCAGGAAATACATCCTCCTGCCTGCAGCAGACTGATCACTGGGGGAGTTGAGACTGAGGATATGCTTCCTCCTGCCTCCAGCAGCCTGATCACTGGGGGAGGGGAGATGAAGGAAATGCTTCCTCTTGCATGCAGCAGACTGATCACTGGGGGGGGGAGACTCAGGAAATACATCCTCCTGCCTGCAGCAGACTGATCACTGGGGGGGGGAGACTCAGGAAATACATCCTCCTGCCTGCAGCAGACTGATCACTGGGGGGGGGAGACTCAGGAAATACATCCTCCTGCCTGCAGCAGACTGATCACTGGGGGGGGGAGACTCAGGAAATACATCCTCCTGCCTGCAGCAGACTGATCACTGGGGGGGGGAGACTCAGGAAATACATCCTCCTGCCTGCAGCAGACTGATCACTGGGGGGGGGAGACTCAGGAAATACATCCTCCTGCCTGCAGCAGACTGATCACTGGGGGGGGGAGACTCAGGAAATACATCCTCCTGCCTGCAGCAGACTGATCACTGGGGGGGGGAGACTCAGGAAATACATCCTCCTGCCTGCAGCAGACTGATCACTGGGGGAGGGAAGACTGAGGAAATGCTTCCTCCTGCCTGCAGCAGACTGATCTCAGCCTCAGCAAAGTCACTGACCGGAGCTTTTTAATGATAACAGGTGGAGCTTCTCTAAACAATGATACTGTTACTGAACATTTTAACATGTCACAATGTATTCATGGAGACCTGTAAAGTTACTGGAAGGTAACACTTCAACTAGTAGCCTGTCATCATCTCATAATTAACTAACACTCAACGTCTACATTGTGTCCATCGGCTCTACAACACGGTGCCTCTGATTCCCATATGGAACACGGGGCCTTTGCCCCTACAATGCCAGCACTGGCCACAAGGTGGCGCAGCATGCATCCTGTGTCCTGGCTCTCTCTCATTGTAAACTTGCAGAGGAGACATTTTTATTAGGCAGAGGGAAGGAAGAGGCCATCAATGACGCTGTCAGCTTGTGTTATAGATGGTTGATGAGCGGAGACCTTATCCCATGCCGCACACACGCTGCTCGGGGCCCCTCACAGTGCTGGACCCGGACACCGGCATGGAATAGCTGCGGCACTGAGAAGGTTCAATCACTTAAATTCTGCAGAAGGGGACAGACGCATGTGATCTCCTACACAGACTCCAACTGAATGTCCCAGAAGATTGTTCTGGTATCTCATCGCCTGATAATCCCCGTCTGTCCTCACAATGGTATCCGGAGCCCTCCACTTATGTGTCATTAGAGTGGCAGCTCTTCTGTACAGAGACTGATGTGACTGGGGGGGGGGACATTAGAGTGTAAGCTCTTCTGTACAGAGACTGATGTGACTGTGGGGGGAGGGGACAGTGTAAGCTCCTCTGTACAGAGACTGATGTGACTGTGGTGGAGGGGACATTAGAGTGTAAGCTCCTCTGTACAGAGACTGATGTGACTGGCTCAGTGTTCTCTGTACAGCGCTGCGGTCTATGTCAGAGCTATATATAAATAAGTTGGAGTACTCACACGGTCATTGCATCCTTCATTATCTTCATATTTTGTCTCTATGTGGATGGAGAATTTAGGAAGAAATGAACACTGTAAAGGGAATAAAACACACAGATTAGCACACACTTGTCCTCAGAGTATTCCTATTCCCAGTATTCCCAGTATTCCTATTCCCAGTATTCCCAGTATGAGGGAGGTAGATGAGGCTGGCGGGGTCAGGATTCTGATATCTGTGTACATGGGCAGACCAATGGTTGGCGCACGCTGTCACACTATGGTAAAGGTGGAACGGCCGGGAGCATTTGGCCTCGGAGCGATCGGCTTACACAATTATGAAGGCCTCCCATCGGAATCTTTACCATAAGTCGACGTATACGTTATGCTCGGAGGTCTCAGTGTAGAGATACTATTATGGCCGGAGTTCTGCTTTAAGCTATTACTTGGTCCTCATACATGCGGTCTGCTGCGGCCTCTGGGGCTGCAAATCAATTACTTCCACCAAAGACATTTATATACCTGACCAGGAACATTACCCGGCCATGTGGCATCATTAAGGGTCATTCAGATTAATTATCTCGGCTGTTATAACTTCCAGGAGGTGGTAATTCACTTTCCTCCATTGCAAACTGAAGAAGCAAAATCATCACTCCCCCTCCCCCCCCCCCCCCCCTCT